AGATCCAGAAATTACTTTAGGTATGTTTTATAATTGGTTTTTCATAGAGGTATTATAATGGACGTTTCTTGAGCAATTATATGGAATTTTGATGTTGGGGTCTATATGCTCAGATATTTTCAAGCCGGATCCTAATTTCTTAGAAAACGAAAGGAAGTATGAAGAATTAAAGAAGGCAATACTTGGTGAAGAATCTGAGGAAGAAGGAGAGTCTGATGCAGAATCAGAGGATGAAGATGAAGATGATGAGTCTGACGAAGAGGATGAGGAGCAAATGAAAATAAAGGACGAGACAGAGACAAACTTAATCAACCTCAGGAGAACGATCTACCTGACGATTATGTCTAGTGTTGACTTCGAAGAAGCAGGGCATAAGCTGTTGAAAATCAAACTAGAGCCTGGTCAGGAGGTTGGTATCTTAATCTCTCTTCTTCTTTTTTGGCGTTATTCTACTCCTGTTGAGCCATGTCCTATGCATAACTGTATGCATGCTCACATGGATTAATCTGTACATAGATTTTCATGTGCTTTGATGGTCGAAAGATAATAATGTCGCTTTTGATTTGGTTGTCATTATATGGAAAAGATTTAAGTTAAAACAAAAATGTAGTTGGACTTGAGAAAAGGTCTAGCAAAAATTTAAATTTTTGGATACAAAATAAAGAGTTCCAGAATTTAAGCTCTTGTTGAATTTGATTTTTCCTCGTATTTATCATGGATAGCGTAGAGACATTTCCATTCTATCATTCTCGGGAAAAGGACATTGCCAGTGAACCGTGCATACCATAAACCATTTTTCTGTGGTTCCATTAAGATGATGGTCGAGGAATAGATGTGGCAATGAAGGTGGGGGGATTATGTAATTGGCTTGTCTTGTGGTCCATGTAGGTGGAGATTCATGTAGCCCATGATGCAACTTCTAACATTGATAATTTGAGGAATTAATTAGCTCATGCTTCATGTGTAATAGTCATCAGGAGGACACAAGTCACCTGCTGCTTCACTGCAAGGCAGCTTTTGACTTATGGATTCTTTTATATTCTCCTTTGGAATCCATCAGGTTATTCCAGCTAATATTAGTTTTTCAATAAGTTAAATAGTTATTTAATAATGGGACTGAGGCGTAGTAGTAGTAGTAGTTGTAATGGGAAAAACTCCCGTATACAAGCAGTATACTGTCCAGCTAATCTTAGTTCTCATGTGGAACATCCAGCAACGTAGAAAAAAGGGAGAAACTGTGGAAATTTGCACCTTTGTGTGTTGTCGTGGACTATTCTATTCATAAGATGAGTACAACTTTTCACCAATGTTTTTATCCAAGGGGAGTATTCCCAGTATATTGATATCTTAGGACTGTATCAGGATGATTATTTAAGTTTTGTTATATTAATTTTGACTTGTTTACTGCTTGTTGTCAATAAGTAACATATTTTGGTAGCCTGGTACCTTGACTTGTTTTCTCTTGGAGCCAGGTTAAAATGGAAAATGATTTTGGTGTTGTAATCATTTTTGTCCTGACAGAATATTGTCTATTCTTGTGTTAATGAGTGACCCTTTGCTGGTTTTACCAAAAAGAAAAGAAAACCGATTTAAATTTGTTTGATCCATGCAGATGGAGTTGTGCATCATGTTATTGGAGTGCTGCAGTCAGGAGAGGACTTATCTTCGTTACTATGGTCTACTGGGGCAGCGTTTTTGTATGATCAACAGAATTCATCAGGAGAACTTTGAAAAATGTTTTGTGCAGCAGTACTCCATGATCCACCGGCTTGAAACTAATAAACTGCGTAACGTGGCCAAGTTTTTTGCTCATTTGCTTGGCACTGATGCTCTGCCTTGGCATGTTTTGGCTTATATACGGCTGACAGAGGAGGACACAACATCTTCTTCTCGTATATTTATCAAGATCCTATTCCAGGTAAATAATTTGGTCTCTAATTTCTACAGCTTGCTTCATTTTTTTTCTTTCAAATAAGTTATAGCCAGTTTGATATTTGTGGCCTAATTTCTTTAGACCCTCTCTATTATATTACAAAAATTGCTGTTTCCGAGTATTTACTTTCTGTTTGTCCACCTGTTTGAAGTCTTTTATCACTAAATATATCACCACATGTCAAAAGTTGCATTTTGACCACACCCATCATCTTTTCTCCTGCTCTTTTCTGGGATTCTTGTTTTCATTTCTTTTTTTAGGCGGCGGGGGTGCTTGAGGGGGCAGCAGTAATAGGACATTATTCTGTTAGCTTCAAATTCAATCTAGATGTGTCATTTATGCAGGAGTTGTCAGAGCACCTAGGCATCCGCTTGTTGAACGAGCGTCTTAACGACCCCAACATGCAGGACTCCTTCGACTCTATTTTCCCGAAGGATAATCCCAAGAATACAAGGTTTGCTATCAACTTTTTCACTTCCATTGGTCTGGGTGGAATTACGGAAAATCTGCGAGAGTATCTCAAGAACATGCCAAGGCTTATCATGCAACAACAGAAGCCTGTTTCTGAATCGGATGAGTCTGGGAGTTCATCTGATTCTGAATCTTCAGGATCCGAGTCAGAATCATCATCATCCAGTTCTGAGGAAAGTGATAGTGAAAGTGATGATAAACGGAAGAAGCGGAAGAGGAGACGGTAGGGACCTTAGACTGCTCAGCAATCTGAAAACTAATATGTATTACCATTGTGAACTAGTTATAGCAAGTGTTATGTTCCTCAGACTAGATTTTTATTTGCTTTGTATGTTTAATTCACTAAAATCTGTGCAGTTTCAGTCTTGACTTTGTTCCAGTTTTGACTAGTTGAACCTTAGAAATTCATTTCTTCTTTTTCGTGCCAATCCGGTAGTTTGTTTATTGAAACCTTAGAGAACTTGTTTGTTTATCAATGTAATGGAAACCATTTAACTGATGATGCTTTCATACTGTTTTGTTGGATATAGCAGTAGAAGGAATAAATGAGTTTAACCTGTGAGAAATTTTTATCAATAGAGGTTATAAGGATATGAATTAATCATCCATCTATTAGAAATTTCGAGTCCTCTTCAATTATATTCTTCTTGACGAAATAACAGATTTAAAAACATGAGTAAAGCACTTCGGAGCTCAGCTAGAATTGATTATAGAAAAATAAAAATAGCTTTTAACTGGTGGAATATTTTTATTTGATCTCTTTTCTTGTCGAGGTCGTGGCCTGTGGATACAGCAGGCGATAAGTTTTCTATGTGACGGAGTTCTCCAGTTAATGCTATACATAAAACAATTAGAATCAGAATGAAGAGAAGGTCCCTTCAAATAAGAATCAAATNACAGTTCCACAACTTTTCTAGCATCAAAAAAAGATTCATGCATCGGTACGAGCATTCTTTGGTGCCCTCAAAACATCTAGAATCACAAAGATCAATTCCACTGCTGAAGAGTTTAGGATCCTTTCCTCCATCTGAGTATCTTCTGATCATGCTGCAAGTACTATGATCACAATTAGGAGAATGATTCCAAATATCACCAGGAGCAAGCAGGTCTGCAGAAGATAATCAGTCAAGAAGTCATTTTCATTATATTTTCACTGCCAGGAATATAAGATGGAAAGATTTATACATTGTCTGTAAAGTGACAGGAAATGGAAATTAGTACACTTGTATTTTCCACCTACATGGATAGGAGGTAATGAGGAAGTAAAATTAGAGTGGCTTGATTGAAAGATTCGAACCATCTAAAAGAACTCAACATTCGTTCAAACCATATTGCCCCCACTTACACAGGATGAAAAATCCAACCTTACCATACTCCTTCCAAAACCTTCCTCCCCTCATATAGTCCGCTACATGAAACCTAAGAAACTAATTGCATGACTTGACTTGTCATTATGACTCTTCATAAAGATTTAAAGCTTCTAACGACAACTGCCTCAAATGGCACAGCAAATTTGGACACAACTATGCGTAGATGTATACAGCAGTCACCTGAATATAATGTAGCTACTCTTTACTTTTCCACTTCTATTAAACAGTGCTGTAACTAGAGCATCTAAATACCATTTTGTTCATAGCCTGGCAAGATGCAGTACCTTAATGATAGAACAGCTTCCGATTTGTCCACAACTAAATTCTCCAATCCTAGAGACTAACCACGAGACTTCTTATGGAATATAAGCACAGTAAAACTAATATGAAGGTTTGATAAAACATAGCTTGCATAAGCACACTGATCCAGATCTATGTTCGGGGAAAGGATGCTTAAGTAATGGAATTACCAGAGATGAATTTGATCTTTGAGTCTTTGCAGCTTTAGCAAGTTGAGATCTCCCCTGTGCAGTAGCAGCATGAGAATTCTCAATGTTGGAGCCAATGTCATCTGAGAGAAAGAGACTTATATACATCAAGTAAATGTCACCTAGAGATTTTGATTGTTAAAATGAAAGGGAAGTGATTTACCAATCATAGTTCCTTGCTCGTGAACAAGCACGGCAAGATCCTTGAAAATCTCATTCACTTCACCAATCTGTTGTTGTATTTCTTGTATTCCCTGATCTCTTTCCTCAATAATAGCTTCATTGAAGGCAATCTCATTGTCCAAATGCAAAACCTCCTGCCTGCAGCAAAGGGGCACGTGGAACACAAAACAAAAGCTAAGTTTCACCAAATGAGAAGTGAAGATACATGTCTTAAGGACGCAAAATCATTGATCTTAGATCATATTCGCATCACAAGTATAGTTCCATAAGAAGATGTCAATGCATTTTCAGGACATGGCCAACAAATGGAAGTTTTCAAGTTGTGTTTCACAGAAGCAAATGAATTCAACAATTTATCGGCCTCTGATTTACCCTCCCAGATTTCACATGGATAGAATGTCGAAATAGCTACATCTACCTCCTCTTTTCACATTAGTATAGGAGCTTCTTTTGCTCACTAACTCACGGTCAGTAACAAGCCCAAATATTTCCAACAAATCAAGACATAAAAATCTAGTAGACTTAGGTATTAGTACTTTTTTTTAATCAACTAATGTTGGAGTTTGGTATTACTACTTATTCATTAAAAGACATCACTAACAAGTAACACCAAGTAAATTTAACATTTTTGCACCCCTTGGCAACTCTTGTTCCCAACACCCTAAGCCCCAAGCTTCAGGTGTCATCTGATTTTTCTTATACGACATAAAACAATGCTCTATCTAATTTGCACTAACCGAACAGTTACCTTGGGTCCAAACCCAAAGGTCAGCTTCATTTCCTTGTATGCCAACAACTGATAGCTATCTTGCTGGTTAGTTTTAGCAACCAATTCGACCATCGATATTTCTATAACTAAATGCATATCTGGAGTTTGATAATAATGAGTTTAACAATCTAGAGACAAACACAAAAACAAGTACGCTCTCCATCCCAATTTATGTGATGGTGTTTGACCAGAGCCAGAGTTTAATAAAGAAAGAAAGAAACATAGACTTTGAAACTAGTGGTCTAAAATAAGTTATAGATATTTGTGTGGCTATGAATTATCCCATTAAGGTTAAATGAACATTTAAAGTTAATTATTCCTAAATATATAAAGGTTCATTCTTTTAGGGACGGACTAAAAAGGAAAGAGTATTACATAAATTGCGGCGGAGGAAGTAACAAACAGCAAAAAAAAATAATAGGACAAGACTAACTCACCTTCTCGATTCCACAAGGAGAGCTCGCTGTTCTGGACTCTTATCGGCAGCAACATCTACCTCACTGGCTGTGTAACTGTATACCACACGGTAATATAAATTAAGGGTAAAAATGAGAGGCAACAAATATAAAGAAAGGGTATGATTCAGTAAGTCTATAAATATTCGCCTGTAGAGTAAACTCATAGCACTATAAGTTTCCTTTTTATGTAGCTCTGCATATGCCGGTAACTCTGTTTACTGATGATAATTCCCGTAAAAACAACCATTGCCACCGACATTACCTAGAAGGAAGAACTGCTTGAGGAATGAAAGGTGTATATGCCGTCTCCCTCTCTGCTGCAAGTCTTTGAGCCTTTTGAAACTCTTTCAAGACAGCTTGAAAATCTTTAGCGAGTTTTGCATCTGTTATTTTCTTGCTAGCCTGAGCACAAATAGTATATGAAGTTAAATTTTAAGTGTAAGCGAAGTTGGAAATAAGAGCAAGAAATACACAGAAGACTAGCCAAAAACAAGAATGAGAGCTCAATATAAAAGAATCTCATAGAGAAATAAGCTGATCAATACGTGCTTAAATATGCATAATGTGAAAGTGCAGACCCATCAATACCGACAAAAGACGGTGAGCAGAAATAACGATCTCTTAAAAAACTTACACTGACATCAGCATGATGATCTGTTTCACTTGCTTGCTTAAGTTTAGCAGATGTATCTTTGACTAACTGCCCAATATGTACCCTTGTCTTGTGCCTGCAGTAGAGCAAAATCAGCACAAGTACCGCCAACCAAATGTTTGATCCAATTGATAACTACTATTTTTTTTTTAAACTACAAGCTAAAAAGTATGAGATCTTTGAGCTCCATTGAAACATTCGTCACTGCCACTAAGCACTAAAATTGGAAAACACAGTAATGCGGTCCACTACCCTCAATCCCAAACTAGTTAGAACCGACTATTTGAATCTAAATATCAATTCGAGCACCAATATTCATAGAATTCAATTCATTATAACTAGATGATTTTCAGTTTGACGTCAACCTACAACAACCCTCCTCCTTTAACTGAGTTTTATACCAACTATGCTTTGCAAAACTCTCACATACACTAGTTATGTAACTCAGCCTATAGCAACAACCAGGGGCTGAGCTAGGTGCGCGGAAGGAATTCAGTCGAACCCCCTTAGCAGAAAATTACACATTGTATATAACATTAATTTTTTTTCCATGTAATATTAGATGTTGAATCCCCTTATCTTCTTCGTGCGTTTACTTTTTTTATTTGTTGAATCCCTTGGATAAAATGCTTCTTCCGCCACTGGCAACAACAATAACTACCATAATGACTCAGTCTCAAATTCATTTAAACCATCTCATGCTAATAATAGGCAAATACAAATAAAAATTATTAGAAATTCTTTAATTCAACCTGATTTAATAAAAAATGAATGAAATGTTAAGAGCCACTTACAACTTCTCCCTTAGCTCAGGGGTATCTTTAGGGGTACCAAGTGTATTCACTAGCCTCTGAAACGTAGACACAGCAGTATTAATCTGGAATATTCCAGAAGCCACTGCTTGGGTCGGGTCTTGCTTCCCATTTGTCTGGAATCTTCTGGAACCCAAAGACCGACCCGATTCCAAATCTTGAAAACTCATTTTTTTTTCTTCTTTTTCTTCAAATTTTTCGAAAAATCCCCCCCAACCCAAGTATCAAAATCTATAATTATATACAAAAAGAGAAACAAAATCAAATTTTGATCAAAATTACACAGGGGGGAAAAAAACTAGAAATTGGGGTTTGGGTAATTCGAGGAGGGAAAATTTAAGGTGTGATTATCCAAATCAATAGTTATATTATATACAGAGATTAGCAAAATCGAATTTTGATCGAATTTAGTAGTAATATATATATGAAAAGGTGGAATTTTTTTTGAATATTTGAGGGGAAAGAGAAGGGGATGAAAAGGAGGAAGAAAAGGAACGAGTGGAAAGGCCCACAATATAATTTGCATTTGCAGGTGGGCTTCTGTTGTCGTGGATGTGACACGTTTAGCTGTTTGGTATTTGGCAGCTTAAGTTTGAAATTAATTATTCAAATTGTGTTTTGCTTTTTATTTTCCTAACAAAAATACAGTCGAACATCTATCTATATAGAATAACACAAGCAAAACAATATTAGGCTGTCAAGTGGAACACCCATCATGGTAACACATTTAACAAATTAAGACAACTTTCCAAAAAAGTTGAAATTTTTTTCTTCTACCTATAAATAAGCTAAATCAGCAAAAAAATCGAAATAACCAACCAATACTCACATCTTTGCCAATCCTCCCACGATTTTAGCTTTCCGGTATTTCCTCCCCTTAATTAACGTGATTGTTATTAAAAACAAAACAACATGCATCTTTACAAATCAGCAAAATCAGAACAGTTAAAACTCCCACATTCATCCCACGATTTTTGGTTTCCAGAATTTGTTCCCTTTAATTAAACTTGTTGTTATTAAAATCAAGGAAAAGATTCCTCCACTTTGTAAGTTCCCGTGTTTTACTCTGTAACTACCATCCACAATTTGCAGTTACTTTTTTTAAATTTTTAATACCTACGTTTTTTTTTAAAAAAAAGGAGGAATAATATCAGTTATTCCAACAAAACAGTCGGCATCTCAAACGCAAAACAATCTCCATTATCCCACGACTGCTCGTGGTCTCAAACATGCTCTTCCAACTGAAAAATCCCAAATTTATATACACATCTATACCTCCATGATTTATGTGCTTTATATTTTCAAAACCTTTTCAACTTCATATTTCATCTACTACAGTCTGATTGCAATTACTTTGCAAGTATGGCCACACAAATTCATGATATCAAACAAATATCATCCAACTCGATCCAATGGAATCTCAAAGTTAGAGTGGTTAGAATGTGGATAATGCCGGATCGCTTTAACCCGCAAATACCGTTTTCAATTGAATTGGTTTTACAAGATTCTAAGGTAACATATTCAACTTTCTCATAGTTTTAAACTTACTAATGTAGTCGCATTCCATATGAAAATTCTTTCTGATGCATTACTTAAATAATTCGACTTCCATATCAACAGATCTTTAACTGATTTGGAATTCATTGTCATTTCGTTTTTCACTTCGAATGTTGAGCATACCTTTACACAGTGATTGTCCTTATATTAACAATCAGGTAAGTTGCATCTTTGTACATAATAATAGATTTATTGTTCAAAATAACAGAGGAATTGTTCTGCTATTAAAGAAGTATTGTACAAAATATATAAGTTCGGCAAATATTAGCTACTGCTTGCCTTGGTTACACGATCATCGGATGAACATATACAAACTACGTTTATATATGCAATTTTCAGCTTTGTTTCTGCTAATGTTGCCTTCATAATTGATATACAACAACTGTAACATTCTGGTTTTTGACATTACATCTTTTAACAACTTTACACAGTAATGAAAGTATAGACGCGCTTACATTTGTTGGCTTCATAATTGTGCACTAATAATGAATCTGAATTTGCAGGGTGATCGTATACATGCTACAATCGGAAAGTATGTTCTTAAGTTTTTTAGGAACAAGATACATGAACTTCGCTTATATCGTATGAACTACTTTGTAGTCAGACCAAATAATTTGAAGTTGAGGACTACGACACACAAGCTGAAACTGACATTTACTCAGAAGACATTTGTCGAGGAAACAAATGATCCTTCATTTCATATGAACATCTTTAACTTGCGCCCTTTTCACCAACTAACAAATGAACATGATGTCGATGAGACATAATTACTCGGTAATATTTTTTAAAATTTTAAATAAAGTTAAAAATGTTATTTCTTAAAGTATGTTACTAACTTTTATATTTATAGATATTGTTGGTTAGGTTGTGACCTATGAAGATGTTAAGACCTACAATCAGGAAGACGACCAAAGTTTCCTTATTAATGTTGTACTCGAAGATGATCAGTAAGTACTTTTAAAATAGAAAAATACTTTATTGATAGATTTTATATATATATGTGTTTATTAATCTTACCATGAAACGTATAGGAGGAACAGGATTATGGCAACATTATGGAGCGAACTTGTGGATCAAATTCAACATCACTTGAATGAATCTGCCGATGAGCCTTTGATTGTTATTTTCCAGCATATGAAACCTCAAAAATATCGAGGTTTACCATAAATTACATGTATTTTTTTATTTTACTGTAAAAATAATTTTAAATTTCAAATTTTTATTCATATTTCATTTGACACATAGATAATTACTCAGTGCGTAGCTGTTGGGATCAGACAAAGATATGGATAAATTCTACGTTGCCGCAGTCTATTGAATTTAAATCCAGGTTTGTGAAGTGTATAATCCTTTTCTATATGTACAGAAAATATAAAAATATNAACAATAGTATTTATAAATTACAATTTTTGACTTATGCAGATTACTTGCAGCACGTCAATCAAACATTGAGCGAATCACTCGAACAAGTTCTCAACAAAGTTACTCTGTTAGAGATGCGTTAGACAAAGGAATTGTATTGTTTAAAACTATTAGAGATTTAGTTCAGTGCACGCAAGTGAGTTTAATTTACTTTCTCAATTATATTTACCTTATGTTATCTGTTTTGCATTTACAATAATTGTTTATTTTTTTACTCAATAGGAATCCAACTATTGGATTGCGGCAAAATTGGTTAATTTGGAACTTGACCGGGGATGGTCATACTTGGCATGCAACAAGTGTAGTCGAAAGGTGGAAAAAGTTGAAAATAAATACTTTTGTGCCAAATGCAATGAAGAAGAGTCTTCTGTTACTCACAGGTTAGTACTATTTAGTGAAAATTTTAAAATCTTATATCTATAAAAAATATGCATAAGGTTAATAAAAATTGAGTTGCAGGTATAGGCTTCAAGTTCGTGTTATGGATGGAACCGCTTTTATCTCATTGTTGCTTTGGAATCGCGAAGCTATGCAACTTATAGGGAAGTCCGCAAAAGAACTCAAGGAAAGATTAGTTGAGATATACTACTAAATTTAATTTGATTAACCATAAAAATATTTCTAACTTATGAAATTTGGTGCAGACTTCACTTGCGGATGTTGACTGTTCTTATTCAAGTGAAATGGACGATATTCTTTATAAAAAATTTCATGTTCAAGATTATGATCAAGTATTACATAAAGAACATAAAGGAATAATAGTAACTTATTCCTTCAACTAATGCAATTTTAACGACATATCCAATGTGTTAAAAAGAGGATTAACATGAAGAGATAGAGTAGTTTACGTTGTTTACTTGATTATATATACTCCTCATGTCAAGTAATAATTTACAATCTGTTTTGCTTATTTTCAAATCAAAATTTAATGAGGAATCTAGCTATATTTAGGTAGTTACAAATGTTAATTCATCCAAAGTATACTTGCCGTAGACTATTACTGTACAATTAAGTGTTAAAATAAACAATGAATATTTTTGTTAGAACTGTAACTTTAAAACCTTTGTTAGAAGGATATGAAACTTATGCTGGAAGGAAAGTGTTGAAAATATATTTGCACTTATTGCAATTCTGATGGTGGAAAATGAATCAAATCTCCGTGTATCTAGCACTGATGACATTTGCGCACAAAATTGATACAATCTCGCTCCATGGTAAGCCAATAGTAGCCTGCTTGGAGAATTTTCTTTGCCAACACATATCCACTCATATGTGGTCCGCAGACTCCCGAATGTACTTCGGACATGACAACCGTAGCTTGTCTAGCATCTATGCATCTTAATAATCCAAGGTCTGGTGTTCTCTTATACAAAACTCCTTCACTTAAGAAGAATCCATTTGCCAACCGTCGAATTGTTCTCTTTTGATCCCCTGTGGCTTGCACTGGATATACCTCATTCTAATGTACTCCTTGATATCGTGGAACTATGGTTCGCCATTAAGTTCTTCTTCAATCATGTTACAGTAAGCATGCTGATCTCGGACTTGAATATGAAGAGGATCGACATAAGGTTTGTCCGGATGGTGCAACATTGATGCCAGGGTATCCAAAGCATCGACGACCTCATTATGGACCCTTGGAATATGCATGAACTCCACTGATCGAAACCGTTGACAAAGATCATGTAAACATTGTCGGTACGGTATGAGCTTCAAGTCTCGCATTTCCCATTCTCTTTGAATTTGATGTACCAGAAGATCCGAGTCTCCCAAGACCAAGATTTCCTGGATATCCATGTCTGCAGCTAGACTTAGACCCAAAATACAGGCTTCATACTCAGCCATGTTGTTAGTGCAATAAAACCGAAGTTGAGCCGTAACAGGATAGTGATGCCCTGTTTTAGAAATAATCACAGCTCCTATCCCGACTCTTTTCATGTTGGCATCCCCATCAAAGAAAAGTTTCCAGCCTGGTTTTTCAATTTGCTCCAGTTCATCGATATGCATCACTTCTTCATCGGGAAAATAAGTTCTCAATGGCTCGTAATCTTCATCGACCGGGTTTTCGGCCAAATGATCGGCCAATGCTTGGGCTTTTATCGCAGTCCTAGTTACATAGATGATGTCAAACTCTGTGAGCAATATCTTCCACTTCGCAAGTCTCCCTATCGGCATAGGCTTTTGAAAGATATACTTCAACGGATCTAAACACGAAATGAGGTAAGTAGTGTAGGATGACAAATAATGTTTCAATTTCTGAGCCACCCAAGTTAGGGCGCAACATGTTCTTTCCAGATGAGTGTACTTAACCTCATAAGCAGTGAACTTCTTACTAAGATAGTAGATAGCCTGTTCCTTTCTGCCGGTAATGTCATGTTACCCCAGTACACAACCAAATGAATTTTCCAAGACTATCAAGTAAAGAATCAAAGATCTTCCTGGTTCTGGCGGAACCAGCACGGGCGGGTTTGACAAGTATCCTTTTATCTTATCAAACACTTCTTGACACTCATCAGTCCACTTGACCGCAACATCCTTCTTCAGCAATTTGAAAATAGGCTCACAAGTTGTCGTGAGCTGAGCAATAAACCTGCTGATGTAGTTCAACCTCCCTAACAGACTCATCACTTCAGTCTTGTTCCTCGGAGGTGGTAATTCTTGGATGGCTTTGATCTTTGATGGGTCCAACTCGATGCCTCGCCGGCTGACTATGAATCCCAACAGCTTTCCGGATGGAACACCAAATGCGCACTTGGCAGGGTTAAGCTTGAGATTGTACCTGCGAAGTCTCAAAAAGAATTTCCTCAAATCCCCAACGTGGTCGGCCTGATGCTTTGATTTTATGATCACATCATCCACGTATACCTCAATCTCTTTATGTATCATGTCATGAAACACTGCAGTCATTGCTCTCATATAAGTTGCCTTGGTGTTCTTCAAACCAAATGGCATTACCCGGTAGCAATAAGTTCCCCACAGCGTGATGAATGCCGT